AAGTCTGGACCAGACAATCCAGTGATTAAACCATGAGCATCGATCTACAAAACTGGGAACCAATGACATGTGTCAACCAAGTCGGCGAGCCTGACCACCCGATCCCGTTAGTCGCCTCTTACAACAAGCATGGGTTCCTGAAGATCAATTCTAACTCGGATCTTCACCTGTCACTATTGGGCATACAAACACATGGTAATTTTACAAATGTTTATGGATGCAGTGCTGGAAATCAAGCAGAAAGTCCTTGTCATAACCCTGTTTAGTTCAAATGCTGGTTGCTTTTTTACACCTAGAGTATGTATGCTTCTGTAAATTAGGACCATATGGACGAGCCTGTAGTGTGCTAACGTTCTATCACGACTAATGTTACTACTCATGTGCCTACATCAATGGCGTGACTCTTCCAAGCAGAAGTACAACATATTTTGGGAGTGTGCCACGTTTTCCTATAAACAGACTTTGATTGTTTGTGTTACCTTCAAAACCGAGCACCAGTTGTATTCAGCGAGCACCAGTTGTATTCAGCGTTGAACCCATGAAGCATGACATTTGACATTGAACCCATGAAGCATGACGTTTGACATTGAACCCATGAAGCATGACGTTTGACATTGAACCCATGAAGCATGACGTTTGACATTGAACCCATGAAGCATGACGTTTGACATTGAACCCATGAAGCATGACGTTTGACATTGAACCCATGAAGCATGACGTTTGACATTGAACAAACCACTGCCAGTTGACAAACTGACAAGGCCGACGGCACTCATGAGACTTGGTATATTATCATGGAGTAATAATTTATACAAAAATTCATTATTAATCATTATCACTACAAGTGATATATTAGTGATATTAGGATAAATATGGAATATTAATTTCATCATGATCAGTAATAGCTTGGAGAAAGACACCATTTTAAAGTAATAGAAAGTCATCTCTTAGACACACCTTTCAGGACAAATAAAGCTATGTCTACACTGTTAAATATAGTGCTTTGATTTATTTTATAAAGTAAACATGTCATCACCTATATTAGAATAACATTAAGCTAATACTTCAATTTAGGCTCATTAAGATTAAGCCCAGAGTAAGAGTGTCTATTGTATTACATTAAACACGCCTACTCTGGGCTAAATGGTGAAATTAATATTTATATTTTCCTAATATCTGAATCCTAATATATTGCTTGTAGTGATAATGATTAATATGAATTTTTGCATTAATTATTACATGAAATATCCAGCCGCCATATGACCAACATCTTCTCCTTAATCAACATCAACATCAGAAATATTGACTTTACTGTTACAGATTCATATAAGCCATAAGGTGCTGTGATACACATGTATACAGTTAATAACTGAATATACAAACTAGTATAACAGAGATATACACTGTTTATAGTTGAATTCACCCACATAGTGCTATAATACACATATGAACTGTTGTGAAGAGCTACATATAACCCACAAGGTGCTGTGATACACATGTATACAGTTAATAACTGAATATACAAAGTGGTATAACAGATATATACACTGTTTATAGCTGAATTCACCCATATGATGCTATAATACACTTATGAACTGCTAAACATCACACATGACCCACAAGGTGCTATGATACACATTTCTACTAATACCCTACACACTACTGTAACAAAGATATACACTGTTAACAGCTGCATACACCTAACAAAGTACTGTGATGCTGATGACTATAACAACAGACTGGCTACATCGAAACAATCCCACATGACGATGATAACACGTATTGGCATCTTCCCGTATACAAGGGGTGAGTGTACAGTTGTTGGTAGGGAGTGACAATTTGAGGTCAGTGATTTGCACTCTTACAAGTTTCCTTTATAAAGGTAGATATATCTATACACACGAATCACTGTGTGCCAGGTCAGCACATAGTGATAGGAGTGGGGATGTTGCTTTCTGAAACCAGTTAACTTTATCATCTCTGGACTATACAGGGGCGGAAATAACTTTAAAATTGATAGTGTACTCCGGTACAGTGGCACATGTAATGTCACTTGCCCTGATAAATTTTCCACTATACCGACCGTTTTCCTGCTGATTTTTTAAATAAACAACATAATTAACATTGGAAAGTCAACTGGACACCGGTACAGTGTGATATACAAATTTGCTTGCCCGACAGAAAAAAACACTGGACTCGGACGTCGGGCAATGGGTTATTTCCACCCCTGCTATAGTATAAAATACCCAAGGTCACCTGACAACAGAAATTAATGAAAGACACAGTTGCATAGCTCAGTGAGGATGGTCGACAATCAATGGATAATGCAATGGGGATTAACAATGGGATAACCATTTTATAAACAATGGCTAAACAAACCACTTGTCTCTGAATTGAACATACTTTACAGAAAAAAAAGTTTATAGTAAAAAAATTAAAATTTAATGAAAAGGAGCCGAGACTTTCTTCATTTTCAGAAGCTGAAGCTGTGGAAATCTAGACTTGCCACATTTTCTAGACTTGCATGGGTTTTCTTGGATGTATTTGCTTCAGGGTCTGTATGACAGACTTAAGCAATGACAAGTATCTGATTTAAGACATATACAATGTACATGTTCTGGATAAGGCGTCAATAGCCTTTGAAATTAAATGTTTATTCAGATAATAATTGTCCCAAATCAGTTGCAATGACAATTACCCCACAAGCTGCCATAATACACATATTAGCACATACATGATATTAGCTACCTTACACCCATAATACCCATATGCACGGTAAAGCTACCTTACAAGGTGCTATAATATACATATGCACGGTAAAGCTACCTTACAAGGTGCTATAATATACATATGCACTGTTAATAGCTAAATAAACCTCATAAGGTGCTATAACACACATGAGTGCCTCCATGCTAATAATTCAGACAGATATTGCAATTTAACAGCAGGTGAGAGTAAAATACAGGCGTGTGCTCCATTAACAGCTTCCTGAATACACTGCCACAGTGCTACTTGCATAACACCTCCTGTTAATTGGGTTATGGTGAACTTACAGCAAGTTATGAAAGGGTTCATTAAGTGCACAACTGGTTAATATGAATACATACCAGTACTTAGGGGTGACTATTGAGGGGGAAACAACTATTGCGATAGCGATAATCCATTGCAGCACACTATTGCGATAGCGATAGCGATAGTCTATTGCTATCTTTTCTCCTTGAATTGTCTCATCTGAAGTCATTTCCCAAATGAATGTATAGTTAATATGAAATAAAAACAAGATGACGGAGTTTCAGTCTCTTTTAATGATTGACAAGAAACTAGAAATCCAGATCACATTTATCAGTAGAAGTCAACTACTAAACTACCGATAGTCACTATTGATGCATCGATAGTTTTTCGTTTCTACTATCAATTAATTGCCATTGGAGACTCAACAATTGCAATCCATCGATAGTTTGATGCATCGTTACAGCCCGCTGACAACTCTTTAGTACTTTGCACACTGACATAAGCATATCTGATCTTGAAACAATAGCAAATATAAATTATGATACAATTTTTCAAAATAATTACATGCTAAAGGTCTTTATGAAAACTGAAAAATGACACTTGATAGTTGATACAGAATTCGGGTTTAACTAGACTAATGTTTCGGCTCTGAATATTTATAATATTGATGGTAACAAATAATCACATTTAAGTTGAAAAGGAGCAGTAGTGGGAGGGAATCAATTAAGGCTCTAACATTGCAGGGAGAGCTAGGCACCAGGGAAAATAATGCAGTTCAGGGACTGTGACACAGACTAGGGTTTAACATATATTTCAGAGAACATGGAAAAAGAGCAACACATATTCTCATGTCAACATGTTTCTCAGTTTCTCCTGTGCTGCTACCTTGATAACAAAATGTTTGGTTTATTTATTGTTTAATACCACACTGCTCTTTGACAGCAGTCTGTAGTAATCAACTCTGGAACAGACAATCCAGTGATTAACATATAAGGAGGTTATAGAGCCCCCGATAAACCAATCTGCCTATCTGCAGTAGATATACCCATGGTAAACCAATCTGCCTATCTGCAGGTGATAGAGCTCTGGTAAACCAATCTGCCTATCTGCAGTAGATATACCCATGGTAAACCAATCTGCCTATCTGCAGGTGATATACCCATGGTAAACCAATCTGCCTATCTGCAGGTGATATACTCATGGTAAACCAATCTGCCTATCTGCAGGTGACAGAGCCCTGGTAAACCAATCTGCCTATCTGCAGTAGATATAGCCCTGGTAAGCAGTCCTTCTATCTATGGGGGCTTTAGCATATGTAAACCAGTCTGTCTACCTGCAGGACCTATGGCCCTTGTAAACTACTTTGTTTATCTGCAGGTAAATGTAAACCACTTTGTTCAAATCAATGTCACATATGTAGTTTACACCAATGATATACATGGTAAACAAAGAACATTATTATATAACATGCAAGTCTAAAGCTATTACATGTACAAGCAAAGCAACCAGTAATCACCAAGAATTTTCTTTCTTTATTTGAATGAGATTAACCAACAATGACGCACAAAACAGATTCTTGTTAATCAATATTTTATAGCTCCATCAGTGTTTGAAATTACTGAAATTACAAAACGTGTATACCCCCTTGTTCTAGAGCCATCCACCTCTGGAAGCACCTTTCTTTTGGGAATGTACTGTTATATATAAATAACAGTTATGATTCTTAAGCAAAGAAGCAGCTGAGGCAAATATCTGCAACTAGCTTGTTTCCCTCTCATCACAATTTAACTGATACCAGTTTTACCTTCTTCCATGAATTGAAGTGGGCACTTATCTTGTACTAATCGTTGTATTAAAAAATCAAAGATGGTAGGACAGTAACTTTCATTTTAGGGATATTTCAGAAATGCCACAGACAAAATACCAACAACTGATAACCGATCAGAGGTCGTGTAACAACTTTAAATAACAGTTTAGCAAAATCTTACCTTGGAGAAAGTCTTGCAACATGGAGTCCAGTTTGATGTCACTGTCAACACACAAGGGACGATGATCGTAGAATTTACACACAGTTCCCAGGGGAGTCTTGTCATCAGGATCAATTAAAGTCAAATCCTTTGTGTTAAGCAGGTTCACAATGTGACTTTTCTCTCCATCATAAACAGGTATTCTTGTGTAACCATGGTTCATGATTTCAGACATTGTGTCAAAATCCAAAACTGTGTTGATATCCAGCATGTACACATCTTCAATTTTAGTCATCACATCTTCCACCTTTTTGTTGGAAAGTTGTAATGCTCCTGCAATGATATTTGCTTCCTCATTTTGAATAACTTTGGAATCAGCAGTCATTCGTATTAACTCTTGTAATTTTTCTTTGTTGTACACCTGACCAATTTCCTCACCAAGAATTTTATCAAGCAGAAGACTGATAGGGAATGATAATGGAAACGTTACTAGCATGAAAAACAATGTGATCCATCTAGTCCTTGCACCAATTGCCAGTCCATGTCTTGAACAAATTGCCTGTGGAATGATTTCTCCAAAAATGACAATTGCAATAGTGGACATAATGACAGCAATAAGTCCATTGGAGAGATCATCCATAAGAATTGTCAAGGTGTTGTTCACGAGCACGTTACCTAACAACAATGTACACAACAAGAAATTACCTCGTTTCCTCAGTGGAACAATCACACGGGCATATTTTTTCTCACTTGGAGAACCACACTTTTCAATAATTTTAAGTTCAGTTTTATCCAAAGCCATCAATCCAAGATTGAGTCCACTGAAAAGACCAGAGAGACACAATAAAACAGTTAAGCAAATTATCTGGAGCCATAACGGTAGTAGGAAAACTTTTTCCTCCTTCGGTAAGACTGCCACCCGCAACCAGGGATCATTGCCCTGTTTAGTCCACTGCGATTGTTCTTTCAAACACAAGTAGTAATACTTTTCATTCCGAGCAATATTTACGTCTTCTAACGAAATATTGAATTCTACAACTGTATCCGATATCAATCTACTGACACTGAAAGACTTCGTCTTTTTAGAGCTTTCACACGTGGACCCTTCATCTGTAGGAAGCAGTTTTTCTGTTGTGAATGAAATCTCTGTGGAATTGGTGAAGTTAGTGCCAATGAGTCGGATTGAGGTGTTTTCGTAAATAGTCACTGTGAGAGTGCCGCTGGCATCTCTAGTGCCCGCATGTGTTGACAGTATTGCAGCCACCGTTGATGTTTTGGGGCTACTTGCTTTGCACATCGTTACAAGAACTGCTAACAACCACACAGTCAACTTTAGCCATCCACCACCATCAGCCATGTTTTTGCGGAAACAAAACCGGAAGCAGTTGCTCGGTCAGTTCCGCCCATTGACCTAAAGGGAGATAATTCATAGCAGACGCTTTTCAGGAAATGATATTCACAGCATGGGCATTGTCAACTGTTACTGCGCTTTAACGAAATTAATTATACTTTCTTTCACGATGCGTTATTGAAAATGGAACCAATGCTATAAATGTAATACAGTCAATATATACATGTACATTTACATGAAGTAGTTCTGATATGCAAGGTCAGGTAGTCGATACATGTATAATATAAAAAATATATAAAAATTACAATTTCTGTATATTGTAAATTATCCATTCAAAAACGGGATTTAGGCACAATATTGGCATTTTGTCAGATTTCAGGAAGATAAATGATAAACTTATATTCCAAAGGACCATCGTATGATGTCACTTCATGTGAATTGGCCATGTCGTTCACTGCGTATATCCACGGAACCTACACATCTATAATGCACTTCTTTTTTTTAAGACTGAAGAATAAGCCGGTTATTAATTTTCGTTCAAAGAAGAGTGAAACACAAAAATCGTGTATTCCAAAGCCAACTCACCGGTCAGTTGCAGATTGTTAGAGTACACTGACCCCGTTAACGCTCAGCTGGAGGTGTGTGTCTGTCTGATGTCACCTGCAACAATAGGCCCTGACGGTGTGTGCCCACAAGGCATCCCCGAATCCTCATTATTATATCATCCATGACTACTAAATTGATTACATTCTACATCAACGAATTTCCGTCAGGCTAATGAGTCGGTGTTATGCATATGAGAGACTATTACATCACTTGTGTCCGTGTAATCTTGAAATTGTCAAGTTGAGTCCTAGATATATGTGACCAGTGGGAGGAACAGTCGTGACAGAGATAAGAAACATCTTCAGTATGTACGGAATGTTAAGGTCGTACGTCTGTAACCTTTAGTCCTTATCCCTTAAGTAACCAGCATCACTGTCAACCCACTGAACTGATTCAGTTATGAGACTCATAAACACTCAGGATAAACCCGTTTTAAATCCGATGCATTCGGTGTTATTGTTTTCACCATACCACTGTGCGATGTATATCCCTGTTTTAATTTCATCACATTTTCTTGTTCTTCATCATACTGAAACCGTGTCTTGTTCCTCATTATCTGTAAACATTATCTTGCTTTTCATCAGACTTGGGGGCGGTGAGGTGGCTTAGTGGTTAAAGCGTTCGCTCGTCACACCGAAGACCCGGGTTCGATTCCCCTCGTGGGTACAATGTGTGAAGCCCATTGTCTGGTGTCGCCCGCCGTGATATAGCTGGAATATTGCTAAAAGCGGTGTAAAACCACATTCATCAGACTTCAACATTTTGTTGTATTTCATCAAACTACGCCACTGTTTTGTCTTTTCAGTACATTTTACAACATCGTTTTGTTAATCGTTAGTCAACCCTTTCGTTCATCATCATACTGCCACATTGTCTTGTTCTTCATTAACCTACAACATTGTTGATACTCGACGATGTTGATTTGTTCATCATCAACTACAAAGTTGTCTCATGCTCCATGAGTCTGCAACGTTGTGTTGTTTTCATCATGCCGCGACAGTCATGTTTTGTTTATCATCAGTCGACCTGTGGAGATCCGGATTAGAATTGATCTTCGTGAGTGAGTTTAGTTTTACACCACACTCAGCAATACTCCAGCTATATAGCGGCGGTCTGTAAATAATCGAGTCTGGACCACACAATCCAATGATCAACATCATGAGCATCGATCTGCGCAATTGGGAACCGATGACATGTGTCAACCAAGCCAGCGAGCCTGACCACCCGATCCCGTTAGTCGCCTCTTACGACAAGCATGGGTTACTGAAGATCAATTCTAACCCGGACCTTCACATGTAATCATTAGAATTCTAATGACTCCAGTATCAATTCATGCTGACCCCAAGTGTGGCAAAAAGGTAAGTGTATCCTGCCTCACCAGAGGCTTCCGTTACAAACACATGCAGAGGCAGGTCATGTGTACTCCTTTGAGAAAACACCGCCACATATGGTACAGGTAAAAATATGGAATTACATCAGATATCGTTTTGGTCACGTGTGGTCAGGTGTGACATTTTGATTAATTTTATGTTTCACTAAGGCTTTCAATTCTGTAACCCTTAGCAATCAACTTTAAAACGATCTTTCAAACAGCATGCTCGAGCGTACCTCAAGTGTTGTAAAACGCACACACCAAAGGCCGGAGGTAATGGAACTTTCTCACATAAAGGTCAAGTTGACCAATGTTGCAGTGACCCTTCCTGCCACACTGCCTTGTCATACTGTTTCATAAGTCTTACTATGAAACCGAGCATGTGGATTATCTTCCCGAGACAGGACAGGCACATCCATTAAGTACTTAATAATGATTAAAAAACAGCTTCTGCTGAAATAAAACACACCTATGTGTAAAGCTATCCAACGTTTCCGAGCCTACAAATGAAATTATGGATATCGATTTCATAATTCATAACATAGTTTTAATAAGGTTTTCATTTCTATTAATTTATTTATCACAGCTGAATGAACTATTGAAATAGTAGTTTGCAATATAGCACTAGCCATTAGAGGCGACCGGCTGTGATATTGCTGGAATATTGCTAAAAGCGGTTTCAAACCAAGCTCACTCACACTCTCACGCACTCACTTAAGAGGCGACCTGCGGGACCGGGTGAACCAAGTCATCGTATCCTGTGTGAGTGAAAGGATGCTCGTGCTATCAATCACTGGGTTGTCAGGTCCAAACTTGAATTTACTGACAACACGATGAACATCGGTTTTATCTGTCTTTGAAATCTTCGGAAGTTCTCTAATCAGCATTTCCTCTCTACCCTTGTTTGGCAGCGTCGCAAATGGTATTGTTACACCGCGATTGTGAGTGAGTATAGTCTTCCCCTTAACTGTTTAAATTTGATTGGTATTTTAATTATTTTTTCTGTTTTAACTTAAATATGTTTCGTTGTTAATGGCGCAGTATGAAATAAACATACAGGTTTATATACTGGAGATTTTGTTTTGATGAAATTATTTACATGAAATTAGTGATGGAAACAAAACCATTGTTTAAAGGTTAGTACGAAGGCTTGGATATGAAAAGATTTGGCATGGTGTCACCCTCAATGCGGAAGGTCGCGGGTTTGATCCCCGACCGCGTCATACCAAAAGACGTTAAAATATGGTACTTGTTGGTCCCTGCCGGGCGCTCGGCATTAATGGGTACAACAAGGACTGGTCGGCTCGGAGTCAGTATAATGTGTCTGAGTGGGGTACTCATACTTCACTGCGGAATGGTATCTCAGTGGGCTAGCACTATAAAACCAGCTTAAGTCTGGGCTAGTACAAGCAGCCGCACATACACATACACACGCATGCACGTAGTCATATGAGCGAAATATTCTCAAGCACGACGTTAAAACCCAATTTCACCTCACCTCACCTCAATGTTAACACACAAGGCAGCTTTAAAGCATGTTTATGTTTTAGCAAGTGTTTACGGTCAGATTGGAAATAAATGTTACACTTGTTTAAAGTATGTAGAAAGTATACTGATACTGGAATACTATTCCGACACACACGTTGAGTGGGTAAACTTGTAGTAGGTCTTGGCTTGCAGCAAAAAGCTTGAAAATTGCATGCGACATTGGGGCCGTCTTGCCCTCTGGCACCACTTCGAGATGAAGTGTAATTAAATTATGTTTTTTCATCAAGACGAATCCTGCTGTTATCAAATTGAAAACACCCCACGAGACAATATTTTCACAAACGTTTTACTTCGTGGTCACGGAAACGATAGAAGTGTAAAATGGATTGCTGCAGACATCCATTCAAGTACTATTGATTATTGATACAGAAAAAGGCAGACATGAAATGTAAAAACGTTTACTTTACATGCATGCATAAGCTATTGTGTTGTAAACACGGGGTGCTGGTGTCCAACGACGTTACCAACTTGGGTGTGAGTGAGTGGGTCAGTGTCTGCCTGCATGCGTACATACGTGCGCGCATGAGTCAGTGAGTACATGCCTGCATGCGCATACGTGCGCGAGTGAGTGAGTGAGTAGGTCAGTGTCTGCCTGCATGCGTACATACGTGCGCGCATGAGTGAGTGAGTGGGTCAGTGTCTGCCTGCATGCGTACATACGTGCGCGCATGAGTGAGTGAGTAGGTCAGTGTCTGCCTGCATGCGTACATACGTGCGCGCATGAGTGAGTAGGTCAGTGTCTGCCTGCATGCGTACATACGTGCTCGCATGAGTGAGTGAGTGGGTCAGTGTCTGCCTGCATGCGTACATACGTGCTCGCATGAGTGAGTGAGTGGGTCAGTGTCTGCCTGCATGCGTACATACGTGCGCGCATGAGTGAGTGGGTTGGTGTCTGCATGCGTACATACGTGCGCGCATGAATGAGTGGGTCGGTGTCTACATGTGTACATACGTGCGCGCATGAGTGAGTGAGTGAGTGGGTCGGTGTCTGCATGCGTACATACGTGCGCGCATGAGTGAGTGAGTGACGACGTAACGGTACCCAAGAGTGACGCTGACCAGGATCAGTGACAACTTCGAGTCGATACTTACGGGTATACCTTGTCTGTGTAGTAGATATTATACAAGAATAAATACATTTTGTGAGGTTGTGGTGTTGGGGCCCCGGTCTGGGTAGGCTGACCACGGTCAGGCTAAGGATGAATCTCTCGACCTAGGCGTACATGGCCAAGGTCACCACGGACTGAGTCATAAATATAAACAGCAATTGATGAGAAGTGGCATAGTTGCTGAGCTCGTTCAGAATGTCTGACAGATTACGTACCTGACAGTTGTGATTAACGGTGGAGACTATAGCATCTTATAAGTAATGACAGTCAAGTGATTCTGGACATATACGTATCATGAGTGAGTGAGTTTGGTTTTACGCCGCTTTAGCAATATTGAAGTAATATCATGGTGTGGAAACCAGATATGGGCTTCACATATTGTACCCACGCGGTATACGTATCATGGCTACACAGTACTTATCATTTGGAATCAGTTGCTCGTTGAGACACGTGAAGCTGAAAATTACTATAATCTTTTGACCAAACAAGATTTTTCCTTTTTCACCTAAATATGTTTCACTGTTAATGAAGTCCTTTATCTCGGTAATAACAATTGTTCGAGCTAGGCTTTTAAGTTTCGTGTTTATCTAGGTATATACTACTGAGTATTTCACAAAGATAATCAGATATATCATTAATTCAAATATAGATTTGGCATATATGCATAATTAAATTCAGTTTAGTGTTTCATGAAATTTATCCACCTATCAAAAGTGCATCAAGGTACAACTATGTTGCAGCAACACGTCACACGTGGTATATTTTCATGTTCATGGTTTGTTGGAAATATGAAGAGTGAGATCTGTATGGATTCCCCAAATGGTAGGGAATAAAATGACTAAATCAAAAATGTTAATGTTAATGTTACGAACTTCTTCCCGGCGACAATTGTTGATGCTTATTCTGGTTATTCCTTTTGACCAGTGCCATTACTGAACGGTCTGTATGGAATAGCTGTCCAACAAAACAAAACAAAAAGCCCATAGTTAATGTTGTTTGTTGAGTGAGTGAGTGAGTATAGTTTAACGCCGCTTTTAGCCTAGTCCACTTGCATCATGATATGAATACACGATGCAGATTAGAAAGTGGTCAAATGTAACATCTAACCCACTCAGCCAGCGCAGCTTCTACACATGGAAGTGTTGATTGTGGAAGTGTTGATTGTGGAAGCTGCGTTGGCTGAGTGGGTTAGACGGCTGACTTTGTGTGCTGGAGATTAGGTGCCTGACTCTGAGGGTGAGGGTTCGAATCCCGGGTGGAACACAACCTAACAAGAATGCTAGAATATGTACTTTACATAGAAAGTGTAATCCCAAATATAGGATTAGTGCATCACGGTAGCCTCTGAATAATCAGCTATTGATATGATGATCGAGGTTAATATTATTGGGAACAGTTATAACGTGACAAAGTTGTCTAGCACTGTGTTTCGTTTGACCTTTACACCTGAATGTCTGTCTGTCTGTAAAGAAAGTAAACATACTAAATACGTAATAACTATCAGTATCGCATTGTGTGAAATGGTAGCACGTATTCGTATATACATAACACTTTGTATGTTTAGGTGCGGTCTCAACACGCAGGGGCGGATACAGCTTTTTGATAAAAGGGGGGTGGGGGGTTGGGGTGTGCACACTATTGAAAAAATGGAGGGTGCACACTTCATTTTCACCAGTTTCAATGGTCATTTAATAAACTTTCAGGACAAAAGGGGGGTGCGCACCCCTGCACACACACAACACCCCCAACCCCCTCTGGATCCGCCTATGACACGTGCCTTTCCTCTCTCACAGAAACGTGTCCAGTTCACATATAAGGAATCGTATGGAAGTATGCTTGGCGATGATTTACAAACAGTGTGCCAGTTTTCAAATCATAATTTTTTCAAGAGCGAAGTCGAGGGAGATATTATTCACAGGAGTGTCGTGATATCAATGTTATTACTTGAGTGGGATTTTATCAGCACGGTATGCGCACAATCGCAATAATTCGTGTGTTATAAATACCCCGTGGTAATATCGTCTGGGTAAGACTGATGTTTTATTCATTCCGACTGATCCCTAATTTGGATGTAAGCCAGTTGGTTGGAGGGCTCAATGCAATCCCTGCTACCAACAGTGTTACCACATCCACACATTACTCGATATATGCACGGACTTCGCGTATATTTTACGAGTGCTTCGAAAACATTTCACACAAATGAGTACCGGACACTGATGATTGACCATTGACCAAGTCAGGGAGCCTGACTGCCCGATGTATTTACTCATATTTACAAGTGAGTAGGCACACACAATTAGAGCATTACATCTTCATTCTGTTCCAATACCCAGGGCTCCTCACACTGTGACTTCGAGAGGTATAAGGATACAGCCCTAATACTACCAATACGATGTAAAAACAATCACTGACAGACTCGAGCTGATATGGGGTGTAGCCTCAAGTCATCTTCAATATTATTGCACCTCTGCAGGGACTCCTGTGTGTGAGTGTCTGTGTGCTGTGTTTTACTAGTCTGGACTTAATGGCCATGGTATACTGACTAACGTATCCCCTTTGTACCGAGTCCTACTCAAGGTTGCAACAGGTACCATCCTTTCATATGTTTGGTATGATACAGCCAGGGACTGTCAACCTTCCACACTTGTGGGAGACCATCTATCCACTAGACCATGGAGGTTACATAAGCAACATTTTGTTATTGAAAGATACCCGTGACATTGAACAACAAAACACAGGGACTGATGACTTAATGAGTTTATTAATAATATGAGGTATAAAAGTGTACAATGGTCATAAGGAGGAGCACATCCCTGGACATGCATGCATGCACAAGTAAACATGGTGCTAGTGTAGGCCAGGGAGGGACAACATCAACAGGAAGCCAGTCAAGAACCTCTCAATCTTTCATACATACGTGAGCAGTAACTGCAGTATAGGCAAATGATTCAAGTTATGAAGTGTTTAAATAATTAAACATCAAGAGTAATAAGAGAAAAGGATGAGCACCTGTTACAAAGTGAAACATGCTGCCAATTGTTCAGTCTGACTAAAGCAGCTCTACTATTGGCATATAACACCAACAGTTCCCATTCAGCAGTTGGTGGACCACAACAACTCCATCTCAGCCATCAAAACAGGGACTTGTCATAAGTTTGATAAAATTGAAACTTGCTTCTAAGTTCAAACTATTTTCCTTTTACTTAAGCATGAATATACTTTTAAGAAGCAAACCCTCTGAATTCTACTCCCACAAGCACTATCAGAACACCTAACGACCCCCACCCCCACAAAAAAAAAGAAAATAATAAAATCCCACCCCAAACACCCTAAGACTCAACCTAAACACCCAAAGACACAGGGTGATATTTTCGTGTGTTATGTATACTGTAGCACACTCTACTACTCTACACTCATGCATGTATGTGTGTACACATAAACAAGCATACACACAGACAAATATATAAGAAGATTTGTTGGTTGATACATATATGATAAGATTACTTCCCATTTGATCCTGATTGCAGCTGTTTCTAACAGCTGCCTGCATGAAGCTATGTTGGTGATGAGAATCTTGCTGAAGGTGACTTTTCATAGAGAGTTTGTCTCAAATGCAATAAAATAGCCTGAAAACCAATTTTGGCAAAAAAGGTGATATTTCAGGACCGTATATAATCAGATTTTTATGTATATAACAAGAAGAGCAGCCTGTTAGAAAGCCAGACATATTGTTGCTTCATGAACACTGTGACATCTTTATTATCTGTTTGACGCAAGTACTCACATCCTGATTAAACTAAACATACACAGCATGATACTATACATGAAATATATTACATTTGTTTGACAAAAGGATTGTGAAAAATGCTGCTCTCAGAAATATTCCAACTAAATTACAGAAGCATGTATATAAACCAATCTTGTCCCCAATCTTGTCCCCAATCCCTTTCACATTTGTGAATAAAATATGTTTAAATCAACCAATCTGGACCGGACAACCCCGTGATTGACACTGATCCATACAACTGGAAAACAATGACAAGCAACCCAATCACCAAGACTGACCATCCATTCAGTCGCAACTGGTTGCTGGGGACCCAAAACAAATATGTGAATATGTAAAGAGTTTATATATGAATCTTTGCAGAAATTCTACAAGAAGGACCATACATAATAAACAGACAGTGTCATATTTCCATAAGAAAGCCAAACAAACCATAACAGATACACATTCTGTGCCAGTAGCACTAGCATTGATAGCATCAAATATCAACTGGTAACCACAAACTTTCAGGCACCAAGTTTCAAAACAAAGTGGACACATAAATATTGTTGCTAAACACAGCTTACACAGAGTGAGTGAGTGAGTTTAGTTTTATGCCACACTCAGCAATATTCCAGCTATAAGGCTTACACAGACAGTATGTGACTGCTTACATCTTAGAAGGCTAAGATAAATTTGTGTTTCTATGAAATGTTAGGTTATTATGTGAATCAGGGGTTGCTAAGTGAAATTGGGGCAGTTTAGAGGATACCAGTTGCTGAGCAAAACCTGTTTCTAAGTACATCTGAGGTAACTAAACATTCTGGTTGCTAGGTGAATCCTAAGTTGTCACTAAGTGACCTCCCTGGTTGCTAGGGCTAATACACTGTATATATCCAAGCTTGAAGCAGCACTTCCTGAACGAGATACAATTAAACAATAACAAACATGAAAAAACAACACTTATTACCAACAGTTTGTTACACACAACACATATATTTTATAAATTTATAAATTTGATTTGTGAGCACTTAAGAAAACACTCAATAAAAAAGATTGATAGAAAAAAGATCAAGCAGTAAGGCACTTGGGAAATATTATAGTCTGGGTTCACAGAGAGATCAAAGGTATATATCCACCATTATACACACAGCATGTCCACTGACAGCCATACCTGACAACCTACAGTATACTACTTCCCTAAATACTCATGTACATGTACTCATATAGTTTATCATTCAGTTATTATTAAAATATTCATTCTTATGGAACATAGCTTTTAAGCAAACACTTGTTGAGTAAATTCTTTTGATTTTCTTTAGATTATGGCATTTTGCATATCATTTCAGTTAAACGAAAATGGTCGACTGTCACTCTTGTTCAAAATATTACATATTCCAGCAGAAATATTCTTTCAGTCAAAACTCTTAGGTATGATATAAATTCTGATTAGAAATCTGTCCACATGCTTTGTATCAAAATATCTAACAATCAAGGTTGACTCACAACATATGATACTATCTAGATTATTCTTTCAAGACTAAATAATGATACAAAAGTTTCTATTTTCACATGTATCTCGTTATCTCGCCAGCTATACACAGGAAGCCATGATGCTGGAGTAACTGCAGTTATCTCCCTTACACAACATAAGGCAAGTAGGTTTGTATCACAGATTCGATGGCAATGTTTTTTTCATGGCATACAGTTCCATTAACTTAATGCTATCTGGTTTGGATAAAAAATCCCGTTTTGCACACCTTTCTATGCTTCTGTCCCTCACTGACTCAAGCAGCAGGGGACTAGTAAACAACACACTGTTGTACACTTAAGATATGCATAGAGTTTGTCAACTGAGAAGTCCTCAGAAGCACCAGACATTGTATGCTGTTGTTTCCAATAGAAACATAAACAGCTTCGTCACATGGGCAGTGTCAAGATTGAGCAGATTCAGGAGGGGTGGAGCACATGGGGGTGGGGGTAGGCTGTATGGGGGTGGCAGAAGAGGGGGTAAACGAGTTTGTTGATGGAGAAGATGTAGGGGTGGGGACAGAAGTTGTGGGGGAGGGGAAACTATTTGTTGGGGTTGTAACTAAGGATGTTTGGGTGGGAACAGTTCTTATGGCGTGGGGTGCTGAAGATGTGGGCGTGGCACTACCACCTGGACTGGGGGTAACAGGTTGTGAAGTAGCTGCAGGACTATGGGGTGTTTGTGGGCTGGGGACATGTGACAGGGAGGGAGGGGTGGTGCTGGGGGGAGATTGGGTTAGGGAGGGGCAATGAGGATGGGATGGGGATGTGGACGGACTGTGCAGGTGTGGCCTGGGTGGTGTAGGGAGGTGGGGGCTCCCTCCACTGGTCGATGTCAACTGACACAGCTGCCTCTTCTTCGTTATCAATTAGGCTTGCTTGTGGCCTGAAACACAGAATAATCAATGAACTTATTGTAGGGGGATATTCTACATATTTACAGCCTGAATTATACATAATAACTAACTCAAAACTATATTCTGTCATTTCACCATGAGAACTTATGTCATATGACTTAATTATTCATTAATCAAACTTACGCATCATTAATAGTTCTCAAGACAGGTAGTGACTGTGATGGATTATGGGAAGTTTGTTGTCCACCAACAGATGTCTCTGGCAGTCTTGTTTCATACAGAGAGTTATAAGGTGGGGGATCTTTAGGCATCTCTTTCGCCTCATCATATGTTGGTAGCCTCACCCGATCTGGAAAATGAAGAACACAACTACTGACCACACATAAAGACTGTGGCATGAAAGGCACCTCAACAATGCTGTGTAGAATCACCTACTGTTATGGGTTCAAATCTTTTGATTGTAATTCTAGTTTTTTTACCACCATCCTGTGAGTGAGGTTTTACACCGCTTTTAGCAATATTTCAGCAATATCACGGCGGGGGACACTAGAAATGGGCTTCACACATTGTACCCATGTGGAAAATCAAACCCGGGTGTTTGGCATGATGAGTGAACGCTTTAATGACGAGGCTTAAACACCGCCCGTTTCAACAATAAAATGAAGAAGAGTAACAAAATCAGCAATGATAATGGGCAGATGAAACAGATGTAGGTGACTTTCTGCTGTCAGTCTTTAAACACTCTGATATCTCAAATGTTTCGAAACCTAATTTAAATCTAATTGGTGCAGACAAACCTACACCCTCATCAGCAATATCCATAGAACTCTCCTCGTTGTTCACCATACCAACTTCTAAATGCCATTCAAACAAGTTACCATCATCAGGATTTGTGTTCACAATTACATAAATTATCAAGATGCAGATGACAGAAGAATGACAGGTAAGTGCATGTCATTTAGCTATAATACAGTGCACCAGTGAAGGTCCGGGTTAGAATGAACCTTCACTAACCCATGCTTGTCGTAAGAGGCGACTAACGGATCGGGTGGTCAGGCTCGCTGCCTGAGTTGACACATGTCATCGCATCCCAAATGCATAGATCAATGTTCATGCTGTTGATCACTGGGTTGTCTGGTCCAGACTTGATTATTTACAGACCGCCGCCATATAGCTGGAATATTGCTGAGTGCAGTGTAAAACCCAACTCACTCACTCACTCACTCACTCACTATAATAAAGTGCTGTGTAAAGCAGTGAGTTGCAACCAGGCAAAATATATTCATTAACTGATTATATTAAACCAAAGCTGCTAAAAGTTTAACAGAAGCATTATCACCTCAATCTACTGGGTACCCATCAACTGCTTGGTGATCTGAATCACATTTTGAAGAAAATCACTTGCATTTATATAAAGGATATAAATAGTTCACCTGAATGAAGGATATAAAAATTCACCTGGATCAAAAATAGGTGTTATGAAAGCAGCATCTAGTGCCTGTGCAATCCTTGATCTGTTTCGTGGTCTCCCTCGATTCCCCCGTCGAGAGGGAGACTGACGGCGACGAAATCGCTTTTGTTGATATAGACAACAGCAGCTCAGGAGGATTATTAATGCCCATATCAACCAAAACCCTGAAAGTAAACAAAGACCAGCTTGAGATAGAAACCCACTGCCTGAAATGTAAGGTTGCCAAATTTGTTAGGGTATAGTGGAACATGGCACATGGATAAAGTTTTTTGTAACCATGGTATCTTGCTGACACTTTATCTATTCAATATTTGGAACATAATTCATTAGCCAACAACGAATTATGAGGACAAGTTTTTTTGTCATGTGAAATATAACTACCTTTGATTTAGATGAACAAATCTATGTTTATTATTGTAAACAGTTGTAGATTCACCATATTAAAATTTTGAAGAAAATTGACCGAAAAATTACAGATGCCAGACATTACTTAATGAGATATTATCATAACTGAAAACAATTGTCTTGAATTCTAAATGAAATATTCCCAAACAATATCATCATTCCAATTTCTACAGGTTCCCATACCATTTTTACAACAAAAAGCTGTAAAGATAATTCTGAAGATCCATACAGTTTATTGTAATAGAGCACAGAAAAGCTGCTACTACTGTGTAGCTAGGGTCCCTGTGCTATTTGCTCCAACACGGTACTCACACCAAAGCTCATAGTAGTAGGCACAGCACTTCCCCTTGCCGCAGCAGTGCCCCTTGTCACACCACAGGGTCTTCCCATTACAGTACTCCTGGGCCTGTAGAGTAGACAGTAGACAGTCAGTAGACATCATAGACAGACACTGATTAGACAGTCAGTAGACATCATAGACAGACACAGATCAGACAGTAGACATAACCAGAGCTGTCAACCCCTAAAGATGGTTTGGAGTGAGACTGAAAAAAATAACCTGGGGTCCCTGGCCATGTCGAGGGCGACGCCCTGGTGGGGGGTCTTTAGGGGGTGAAGCCCCCCGCCCCCGAAAATAAAGTTGAGTGATTTTCAGGAGCATTTGGAGCCTTCTGGTGGCATTATTTTGACACTAAAAGATGCATGCTAATAAATAATAATAAGCCGAATCATTCGCATAAACATCGTTTTAGTACTTCGTTCATTCAGGCGTTCTTTCAATGTTCAACTTTACGTAACAACGAACGAAAATGCGTATTAATTTTGAAATTATTTTTGGCTACCAGATATGCGTGAGATTATTATTTGGAGGCGTGAGAGTGTGACATTTGTCAATAAAGCGTGAGACTCACGCCAAATGCGTAAGAGTTGACAGGTATGCATAACACAGATCACAGACACAGGTAGATGACACTGTATAGACAGCCAGTAGACATAATAGACATAACACAGATCACAGACACAGGTAGATGACACTGTATAGACAGCCAGTAGACATAATAGACATAACACAGATCACAGACACAGGTAGATGACACTGTATAGACAGTAGACATAACACAGATCAGACAGACACTTAAAGGTAGATGACACTGACTATTCAGTAGACAAAAAGGAGACATCAAGACAAACAGCAGTCAGTAGACAAGAAACCATATAGAGTAGTTACACAATTTAGACAACAAATTCGTGGCAGTTTCAGTTTCGTAAGTGCTGAACTCAGCAACATTTCAGTTTTATGAAGGTCAGACAAGCCGAATATCGACACCTTGAGCATCGGTTCGATCTACACATCTGGGATACGATAACATGCAAGCCAGACCCCCCTATACTGTTAGTCGCATATTACTACCAACAGGGGTTGTTTAGGAACAGTTCTAACCCTGATCTTCAGGGGCCAAAACAGTCAGAGACAGACAGATCATATTGACATCAGTTAACATTAGACAGATAATAGACAGAAAACTGACAGTAAACAAAAACACAAATGGTATGCCATAATAAGACTTAAGTCTGTATCAAAATAATAGCATTTATCCATTTCATCATTTGATAGATAGTATCAACGATAAGACACGCAATAAACCAGTCTGATGAACAATCTGAAGCCACAAGCCGATAAACGTGTAAAGATCGTCACCAAGCAAAAATTATTCATAAAAATGCTTCAGGCCTCACTGTATTGCCGACTTTATCGAAAAGTCCCCAGTAAGTCTAGCTAGGTATTTCCACATGTGTTTGTGTTTCTGTCAGCCAACATGGCACTGTCTGAAACAAGGTGCTTCAATCACAAACACCTGTATTCTTTCACAGTTTCTAATAGTTACCTGAGTTTCGTGATAGGTACAAAACAGTAGATTATTTAAGAACAAATATACATAGTAAAGAGATCATTACCCTCATATGTGTCTATATGGTAATAATAAACAATAAGAAGGAATATTAGGAACATAGATATGTGTTGTTTGCAAGTGTCACATAGTACAATACATTTTATCTTAACTCACACATAAATGTCGTTTTCATATTGGCTGAGTGCTCTTCTATTATTTTCAATGTACCCTGCTTACAAGCGAGTAACACTTTCTATGTTCCCTGCTGAGAATGCCGAACTGTGGGAATTCATTTGGTACTTTGTGTTAGTAATTCTTTATCTTGAATAATTGAGTCATGTATGATGTAGGGAAATGTTTGCGAATGCAAATAAATGGAAGGGAGATAACTCTAAATTTGTTTTTCTTGTTGTCTGCTAGATTTTATGTCATCTGAAAATCTGGTATCGTCTAATTGAGTAACTCTAGTACTCCTTATATGATCCAATACCAATGCTACAAACAGTTCAAAATTAACGGTAAGATAAATATGTTGTTCACTCGTGCCCACGGGCCCATGGGTTGATGTATTCTCTATGTTTGATTGTGTTAACATAAACAAACATAGGGGGAACATAAACAAACATAGAGGGAACATAAACAAACATGGAGGATACATCAACCCACGTCCCCCTCGTGACCAGTGAACAACTTATATTACTAACATGCGATATTTCACAATCAGGAAACACGCAAGGGTAATAAGTTTAATAACTTAATCATGATAATACTGTTCCTAAAATGATAAGCAGTATCCAGTGGTATATGATGCGATTTCATTCACTGATGTTCAAGATAAAACATGGATGTGTTGAACTTCTCTGAAATAGCAGAATTTATTACATCAAATAATGGTTCCAAATGAAATGATAAACTATTGTCATCATTATCAAAATCATTTAACCAAAATAATAATTTCCCCAATAACCTAACATACTTATTTGATCAGTCATTTTTTCCTCCATCAATATACCAATGAATGTGGAGAAAATATTCTATTACACGAGAGAAATTCTACTCCCTAAAGTTCAGGGCAACACTTAAATAATAATAATCAAATTGCTACTATACATTTTTCACTTTGCAAAAGAAAATTACATGAAACTCATACCAAGCTGAGAAATATGACAAGGCAATCAAATATAAATTCATACACAGAAGGCTTTATCAGACATTCAGTGTGTTATTCAGGTCGTCCATGCAGAAACACATTTACTGCATGTTTTACATAAACTGTACGTTTGCCAACCCAATGATTTGTAAAGAAGTTTGAGTAAAATATATTCTGAACAAATTTCCATGAGGAAATTAATGTGTTTGGCAATGTATCTCAGTGACTGAAAATGAATGGTTCTGGTTGTCAGACTCAGAGATTTGGATGACAAATGCCGTCAATATTACTCTGTTGACATGGATCTGTATCAATCACTGGATTATCTGGTCCAACTCATTCATTAATAGGGCATCATCTTATCACTGGATAAACCTGTGTGTGGCACACAAACAAATCAACAATATCTCATCACAAATGTCCCCACTCACCTGGCCACTGCCATGTGTCAACAAGTTATCTCCCCTTGGATGAACAATGTCCATCCTCATCTTCAGAACATTTATCTGCGGTTCTTACTCTTATCTCATCCAACATCATGTTTATATGTGCACTCTCTGACATTACAACAGGATAGTCTTCACTGGCTACATAATAAAGAGAGAGGGAGTTCCTTCCACTCCCAGACAATATCACATCAGGCTGTCGGTAAACTTTCTGTTTCCCATCTCCTGCCTGCCCTCAATCTACATCATTATTCAATTTAAACACCATTACCAAGAGATATTAATTTGTAAAGTTTCACAAAACCAGTTACACAATATATGAAAATAATATTTAATATTTTTATATTTTATATATCTTTTTTGCTCACCCACTCATGGTTTTTGAGGTTGGAGATGAGAAACACCTAAAAAATATGGATAGCCATAGACAATTAATGTGATATAATCTTTTTGCACTTCATCACGTTTATGACCTTAAAACATCACTTTGTAATTTGCAATTAACAAACTTCAGGTAATAAAAATGTTCAAAGCGGTGGTGCATGTTTCAACACGACTGCCATATTATCTTGAAAGATAAATATAGTTCTATATTGTATTACATGGTATACATCGACACTGTATCAACTAAAGAGATCTTCAAAATACATCTCTAAATATATTCACACATCTTCAAGTAATTTTAGCCATGAAAGAGGCACATTATCACTATTCCCTGCAACTTGATTTGATTATGCCAGTGCCTCATCGTGATCACACAATTTGTGCACATCGTGTACTCATTATTGTTTTTTAGCTGAGGTCACCATGGCCTGATCTAATAACAGATTTCGTAAAGCTGAAATGGTGCCAAACAAGTATCATTTGTCCATTGACAAACACTATTATTGCTTACAGGCATGATAACTATGGTAGATCCTAATTAATGCCAAGAGTTTTCTCAAAGAATGTCAGCTTGTTTCAAACCGTGTTTCTGTTATAGCGCCCCCTGTTGACAGAATTATGTGTTATCAGGGACATTTTCCAGAAGATTTAATTAATTATTACTTCATGTCTTCAGCCTCCATTACCTTTAGAGTGTCCTCCCATGTTTAAACTGACATGCAAGGCTTCAAAATAAACACTGTTTAAGGATGCTAAACCCAACTCACTCACTCACTCAACAAGTGCACTTCTTGTATGAGTGACCTGTGGCAAGTGGCACCTGCAGTGGAAAACCTCTGAACTGTGACCTTCATATGATGATGATGATGATGATGTCAATGAAGAACAACTGGTGTTAAGTGTGTGGTTTTATGCTGCTTTTAGCAATATTCCAGTAATATCACCACGGTGGCTCCAGGAATGGGCTTCACACACTCACAGTACTTATGTGGGGAATCGAACCCAGGCCTTTGGCATGATAAATGGGATTCAGTTATTACAAGGAGCGAAGCCCTTAATTCAGGTGTACTCAATAGTGAAATGGCACTCACTCAACCACCCCCTATCCATTCAACATACCCTTTAGCTCTCTCTCACTCACTCACCCACCCCTATCCATTCAACATACCCTTTATCTCTCACTCACCCACCCCCTATCCATTCAACATACCCTTTATCTCTCACTCACCCACCACCCCTATCCATTCAACATACCCTTTATCTCACTCACTCACTCAACATACCCTATCCATTCAACATACCCTTTAGCTCTCACTCACTCACTCACCCACCCCTATCCATTCAACATACCCTTTAGCTCTCACCCACTCACCAACCACCCCCTATCCATTCAACATACCCTTTATCTCTCACTCACTCACTCACCCACCCCCTATCCATTCAACATACCCTTTATCTCTCACTCACTCACTCAACCACCCCCTATCCATTCAACATACCCTTTATCTCTCACTCACTCACTCACCCACCCCCT